TGGAAGTGCACTTCTGGCTCGGCAATTGGCCGCTGGGAGACCCCCCTGTCAGCGATAGGCTGGTGGGGGACCCCCCCCACTCCCACTGTTGGTGATCTGGTGCCCTCCCAGACTCAGGAGGCACAATCGCCCATGGCTACTAGGCATCTGCATCCTTTCTTGAGCTCCCAACAGGATATTGGCCCCTGGTAAACAAGGGTAACGGAGCTGGAACTCGAGCTGTGCATGTGTTTGTCATTAGAGCTGTTTCCTTTAGTAAAGTGCTTCCTGGTTAAGAAAGCACCATGTTTCTATACAGAAGTCATCATGCTGAGGCCACATGGGAACTAAAGCTAATGTAAGGCGAGGATGCAGCTGCTGACATATTGATATGTCCCGCAGATAGCACAGCAGCCCACTATTCTGCACATGGAACTTGGCATGGAAATGCACTGCATTATGTTCATTTTAACTAAGAAATCCTCCAAGGCTAGGGACAGATGTTACACATAAACCAGTTTAAGTGATCAGAAACTGGTTCAGAAATATAAGTTCAGTGCACATAAACCAGCATGGCTGAAAATGGTTTAAGATACACCTGGTTGAATGCAGTATCAAATTTAACTGATTTGGGTCAAACCGGTTTATGCAATGTCTGTCCCAGACCTCTTCCTTGTTTAAGCCAAACCAGAGGCCCCCCGCATCCCAGATGTTTTGCAGCCCTGGGCTGAGCTGTCTGCTCCAGAGAACAGGGTTGGCTCCTCCTCTCTGCTCCCTAGCCGGAGCTCTGGCAGAGACTGCAGGCATAGCAGGGTCTGTTTCTCCCGGCCCCCCACCCCCTGCTGCTCAAGAAAGGATTCCCCCTTTCCTCCCTCCCATCTTCCATAGCATGGGTCCCAGCCCCATGGACCCTAGGCATGTGGTATGCTAGCTAATGCTGAGAGGTGTCTGTGCATTTGTGTCTCCAATTTCACTGGGCCAGGCAGACAAAACAGTATGTGCTTAGGGCTTTTTGGAGCTAATCAACAGGTCAGCTGGCAATTTCCCTCCTTTCCTTCCTTGGAAAAAGCTGTTTAAGAAGAGCTTGAACTAATGAGAGGCTTTTGTTTTGTTAATGGGCTGATAAATGCTGTGTTATCAGTTCCCTGCTGGCTCCCTCGCCTGTGACATTTGCAGACAGTATGAAGAAGCAGGGAAAGG